TCACCAAGCGATGCTTTGTTGTTTTTTTTTGTTTTAAAAACCAGAGCTATCGCGTCTTGCTTAAGGACAGCCCAGTTGGCCACCCACCAAAAGGCTGCGTTGCTGACGAATGCTTGACATAAAATATTTCTTATGAGACTGTGAACTCACCAACCACCAGACAACTACAGACCAACAGGGGCGGGTGGTGGCATTTAACAGATAAAAATACAACCGAAGGAGTCGGGAAAAGGAGGTTGAGAGCGTAACTTTAAACACCACTAACTAAACCATCTCAAATATGACCCTGACCTTCATAAAGCGATCCACACTTGTTTCATCCAGACATCCTTTCTCGTTCGGCTCTGAGGAGTAAACAAGGTCAGTGTAATTGTAAATGTCGGTGTTTTTACCCCCACCATCAACACAATTTGGACTATTTAGGAAGCGGGGTGTTATTTCAAATCTGCCTGTCCGGAACAACCGGCCGTGCTAAAGTGGGGGCCCACCGTCCAGAAAAACAGAGATGTACAGGGTGATAACAAAAAATACAACTATACAACTTTTTTTTAAAATTCTGGAATTCCAAGAACAAATGGTCTCTTATGTCCTCTGTTGGACTAGACACATTTTAAGACGTCGTTCGTAATGTTCTATGTTTGTGAAACACAAGGATCCGCTTAATCATGAGTAGATCTACTCAAAACCACACACACACACACACAGTACACCTTACTGTGTGGAGCTGTTTCTACAGACAACAAGGGGAGGGGGGAGGTTGCCCAAGTAGACAACATTAATTGTGAAGTTGATATAACCTGAAAGGTGACTATGGGCTTTGCCAAGGAACCAAATGTCATAGAGGAAATGTTCACTCTTTTCAAGACGATCGAGGAATCATGAACACATTGCTATCCCCTGATAGCTTCGCGAACGGGAAAAGGGCACTGTCATAGATGAAGATCTGCCTTGAGAATGTGGACAATTGAGATGTAGGAAAGTCATTGCTGCATTCATTGTCTACGCACAGACGTCTCATGGGGCTCATCTACTGAATTCTGCACCCTGGTGACGTTTAAAGGGGTGCGAACGGTGTGTGTTTGACCTGAAATGTTTGTTTTGTCTGGGAATTTTTAGTTCTGATTCTCTACAGGTACCAATTGATGGACCATTTCCATCCTTGACATCAAAGAAGGCCTTAAGGGCACTTTAACATTATTTCCGTATCTTGTGAGAAACTTACGAAATGAGTTAGTGGTGAGGAAATGTTCAATACACAAAGCTCTCAGCTTTTTACTAATCTTAACCATGATTACAGCAGGCAAAGGAAACTTGAGAAAAACTATCTGTAAACTTCTGTTGGCCTGTTAGATTACTGTAACCTGCAATATGGCGCAATCGTTGTGATTTTTTGTGGTTTGCCTAATGCGGACTAGTGCATCATGCAACAATAATGAGGGCATGGTGAAATTTATTGGTTTTGTTTTTTTACGCGGTGTGTAAAACAAAACAATTTTGTGGATTTTCTAAAATGAATATCAGACAAATTCCTTTTGACTTCCAAAGGTTGTGTACAAATTTGAAGCTCAAAACGTCAGTGTGGAGGAAGATATTAACACCAAAAGTTGAACAGTTTGTTTTGGGTTACCCTGTACTTGATAAAAACTATCCCCACACGGGAATCGAACTGGGGTGTTTTGCTCTTCCTCGTTGTTTTTTATCAGCGAGCGGCCAGTGAAAATTAAGTATTCAGTCGTCACCAAGCGATGCTTTGTTGTTTTTTTTTGTTTTAAAAACCAGAGCTATCGCGTCTTGCTTAAGGACAGCCCAGTTGGCCACCCACCAAAAGGCTGCGTTGCT